ACCAACTGCTTCCACATAAGAAAGGGAATGGGAAACTTGCTAAGGGTTCATTGAAGGCAGCAGCAGAGGCCTTCAAAGTTTCCCCTAGAACTTGTGCAAGAATTTGGAAGCGCTATTKAGAAACTCAGGATGAYGAAACATGCCCTGCAGGTGATRTGTCAAGCAACAGGTCCAAGTGTGGTAGGAAGCCTAGGTCTRTCTCAGATCTTGACRGTATGAGGGACATTCCATACAAACAAAGAGGAGATCTGAGGAYACTGTCAGCAGYKTTGAACATCCCCTGTTCTTCATTGCATGTTCTTGTTTGGCGTGGAGCAATCAAGAGATACAGCTGTATGTTGCAGCCTTTCCTAAAAGAAGCCAACAAAATGGAAAGGATTTGATTTGCTCTGTCTCATATTGATCACAATGGCGTCTTTGACCCAATGTATGACAAGCTACATGTTGATGAGAAATGGTTCTTCATGAAGGAAGTTACAAGCAACACGTATCTACTTGTTGATGAAGAGCTTGAACAAGTTGGCAAGACACCATCAAAGCAGCATATCAAGAAGGTGATGTTTCTATGTGCAACAGCAAGGCCCAGGTYTGATCATGGCAGGAATSCTTGGTTTGATGGGAAGCTTGGTATCTGGCCTATTGTGGAGTACAGAACAGYGCAGAGGTCCTCTGTCAATCGCCCTRGAGGTACCAYTGAACCCCACCCTATTAACGTCAACAAAGAAGTGTACAGGAAGCTCATGGTTGAAWWATTTCTACCAGCCATTTATGAGAAGTTCCCCAGAGGTAACRRTGTTCTTCCAAGTTGCATCATCCAGGAAGACAATGCAAAGCCTCATACACTGAACACCAGAGCAGCTGTGACAGCTGCAGCTTGTCAGATGAACTGGAATATTGTTGTGAAGCCCCAACCAYCTACTAACAGTCCTGACTTTAATGTTCTTGATTTGGGTTTCTTCAATTCTATCCAGAGCCTTCAGCACAAGAAGTGGTCTTCTAATATGGACACATTGATTGCCAATGTGATTGCTGCATTTGAAGAATCCAAATGTGAGACTCTAAACAAGGTATTTTTGACACTACAGTGTGCAATGGAGGATTCACTTAGTGTTGGTGGTGACAACACTTACAACAAGATTCCACACCTTGGGAAAGAAAAGCTTTCTCGCCAAGGGGAGCTTCCAGTATCGATCATTTGCAACCAACAAAAGATTGCCTTCGCACGTTCAGTACTGGTGGCAGACTTCAACAATAGTAATACCAATACTAGTACTAGTTTGTGCTGTATTGGTTCTAATAGTAATAGTAGTAATAGTAATAGTCTTAAATATGAATGTTGACACAATARTTGTAGTACTTGTGGTACTTATTGTACACATTCTATAGGGCCATTGCATACTGAACAATTATTACTGGACAAATTGAGTACTGCAAAGTGTACAATTAT